ACTACTACTTCGGTAAAAGAAAAAGAGTTCGTGTTTTGGACTCTGGGTGTCTTCGGGGGAAAAAGTCTTAAAGAATAAGCGTGTGAGGAAAGCTGTTTGATAGACTGGCAATCTGAGATGTAACTCCAAAATATTAACCTATCCGCTTCATTAACTTGTTCATTGTTGTGAAGACAAATGCTCTCATCCCACCACGACAATTGATCTTTTTGAAGTTGGGTCATTTAGTCATCAGGCCAAACGTCGGGAAAAGAGGACCCAGTTACAACTGCACCTGTCCAAGACAACCACCCATAGTTGTCGAGAAATGTAGTCATTATCAACAGATTGTACATTGTTATATTATATTGTTTAAACAACTCGAGGTGGGAAGTGGGAAGTGGTCGTGTATAGATGGTTGTCTTGGACAAGTTATCGTCCGAGCAGGTTCGACTGTATATTCTGTGATGGACTGGGGCAATTCGAAGAGGTTTCAATTTTTCCGCGGGTTTACGTAATTCAATATTAACTGTACCACACGGAAATGCAATCCCACACTAGCCTGAGAGAAAATAGTACTGTTGTTTAAACCACACATGGTAGCTAAACATGTCTCCTGTCCTTTGCATCTTACAAGTGCTATTTCATCAAGAAAAAGGCTTAGAATAAAATCCCCCAAAAAGTGTGTCGTCGATAAATCAATCACGTGGGTACCTTTCAAATCCGGAAGAAGCGCTCTGAGTGAAAGTCAGTTGAACCTGCCACCGTGAGAGAGGAGACAGTGTTAATAAATATCACCATTACACCACAAAAGGCCAGTAAATAGAAGTCAGGCCGGGAAATCAATGTTCAATCCAACGGGTTCGCTAATTGTTTTACTTAAACAAACGGATAGCAATTTGGCGCGCCGAAGAGCAGAGAGGGTTGGGAAGAACCCCTACATTGTGTGGCGCGGCATTGGGTCTCCCGGGGCCCGGGACTGTGGCGATCCCGCTAATAGAGTGATCAGAGATCTGTTGTGTGCTCGCTGTCTCTGGAGGATTGTACCCGGGGTAGATTCTGGCTGTTGAGCTGATAGGGAGGTGGGTGAGGCTAGGCTGGGTTGAAAAGGGGATGGGGGCGGGAGCGGAAGAGAGGGAAGGAGAGAGAGAG